AGAGGAGTAATATGGCGAAACGATACCTGTTTACTAGTTGTGCATATTAAAGCCCTATCACATTATCTTTCCGCTACGCGAAACGTAATGGCAGACCGCACATTGAGTTGAACAATGTTAAGCAAATTTCGCTTACTGCGCATGCTTGATGGTGTACCTTTGGCGCGGGGAGAAGTATTGGCGACTAAGCAACCCTACGCTAGCTTATTCGTGATCACCATGGCTGTCGAGTGTGTTCGAAGGATGTTTACTACTGTAAAATGTTGTGCAACTTAGCTTATTAGTTAGTATTTTAACGTCCATACCGATTTTCTAATATATCTTTCATTGTAATTTGTCAATATGCATTTAATATTTGTTAACATATGTTCGTAATAATTCGTTATTTAAATGTAATTTGTTTACATTTTATAATTCAGTAATTGTAAACTGGAATATCTCGCTTAGTTTGTTAGCGTATATTCGCGCTTTTATTCTCTCATATCAAAGAATTTAATAACTAGCATTAAGGAATTGTAAAATTTCTTCAGTGTTATTTGCAAGCACTTGTTGTATTCCTCAGTGTTTCTTTATGTATGTACGAATGGAACGTATGGTAAATCCTGAATTGTTTTTATTGCTTAAAAGTATAATGAATAAATTTTCAACTAATATATCCTAAATTTCAGTCTTTTTCTGAACGAAAATTTGTACAGTTCCAAAGGAGTGTGCAGAATTTCATAGGTATTATATTTTACATTATGAATGCAAACTCTGCTTCACATTACTTCGCAATAATTTCAGCTTTCTAGTTGTTTGAGCAGTACAGCAAAAAATAGTATTTTAACACAGTAATTAATTTACATTTACATTAAACTCTACGAAGATTTAAACACCAGTTTTGTTTACAATCAGATGGCGGTACATCTACCATATACCGTATTTATCTTCTTTTCAAATCGCGCCAACATAGTAATTACGCTAAATTGTTTTCTGGGCATGCGCAGTATGCGACATTCGTTTAACACTGTTCAACTCAATGTGCGGTCTGCCATTACGCCTACGCGAGACTGGACGCCGAAATGGACAATTCTCAGAACCAGCACATTTCCGAAAAACCACATAGCTAGGTTGATTTCACTTAGTACAAAGACTTGAACGTCAAATAGTAACCGATTATCGCTCAGTTTGAGATCACGTGATCCTTCAGAAGCAAAGCATTCGTCTGATTGGTTGTTCTCTACCCGGGACAGAGCTGCAGTCGAAACATTTTCGGCGAGGCTTCAAAAAATACCGGGTAGTCGGTACGCATATTTCTCAAGTGCACATCAGCGTAGCCACTGAGGGAGGGGTTTCGAAAATGGACCAATGGGCTGCTATTGCTCTTGTGACGCTAAATCTTCGTGCATGTGAGCGTATGTTGTTTACGTTTTAATTTGAATTTGTTTCGCAGTTATAAATATATGGCGTAATAGTAGAAAATCTCGTAGTGCTTTCGTTTTCTGAGTTTGATTACTCGCTGTCGCAATTTTTATCACGCATTAATATTAGGATTGATGTTCACGGCATATTATGTGGATTAAGATAATTCAAGTGTATATATTTTTTTAATTGAGCTGAGAATGACTGAAAGTTTTACAATGAATCTAGTGTTTTCTTATTTCAGTGCTTGCATTTTTTTGATTTTTAAAGTGTAAGGTTCAGAATATACATAATCTGGTTATATCCATTGTTAACATTAAAAATTATATGTGAATAAACTGAATATACTCGTTGTGAATACGATAAATTCACTCTGTTTGATGAGGTACTTCTTGTGTAGACAGTACATTTTAAGAGTGAGCATTTATTAAATGTGAAAATTAACGCACTAAATGTATACGAATGCAAATTAGTGAAGTTCACTTTGAATAAAATTCTGCATTGGTTATTATTATAGAACATCTTTTTCATATAGACTGTAATAAAAAGTGCTGACTTCTATTTAAATATATAATTGGTGTAAATATTTTTCTTCCATACGCATAGTTTTATGTAAAGATAGTAAAGATAGCATTTGGGTTTCAGATGTTTATCACATATTTCTTTCTTCATCGTGTTATTTACCACTTATTAAGTAATATTTCAGATCGATATTTTTGCGAAGTATCCAACTTGTGTTTGTATTTATTTCAACCAGGTAGTGAAATCTTCATAATTTTCTATATTTGATCTCACTTCAAAAATAAAATGTTTATTTTTGTAATAAAATGTAATAAAATGTTTCAGAAGCAATCGACGATGCTTTAATTATTTTGTACAGAAAATTGCGTGACAGAATATTTCCAACCATCAGAATATTGCTTAAATCTTAAAGCACGCCAAAGGTCATGTGGCATGATAGAAATATTACTGGATGCTCATTGGTCCATCCTAGAAGCCACTCTCTCGGTGGCTACACAGATGTGCACTTGTGAAATATGCAGTCGGTACATCGTTTCCAGCGGGGCTTCGCTTCCAGCGGGGCTATTTTTTTTTTCTAGGAATACTTCCTTCTAAACCAGTGCTACCAGAAATCTAGATTCTCAGAGAAATCCCGTCTAGCATCGCTAGACGTTAGATGTGATAAGGACCATCGCTAGATGTGATAAGGGTTCCGCGTGGCTGTTGCTCTGATATCGTATAAATACGAGGTTGCCGTCATGGGTGAAGCTGTGGTTCTTTCCATAGTGAAGCTGGTATGGCACGCTGTTCTGAATTAACTATCTGTGACAAGAACGGCAAAAGAAGTCTTTTAGAGCGTGAGATTCCAGTCAGACCGTATCTATTATATTTCAATGCATGACTCGAAGTCAAGTACTTGACAAAGGTTTTAACATAGATTTGATGCAGAAGTTATCAAGTTATCACTTGTCCTCTCTCATCTTTTTTACTTCCTTGTACGAAGCAAAAAGAAAGTATTGTAATCGCGAAGATTCAGGCAGCATATTTCAACGAAAATATCCATTTTGACAGCTATCGAATGCAATTTAAAGATGTTTCTGCGTGATATCTGTACGTAAGGACAGAATAAAATACTCTTTTCCTTCAAAAAAATTATAAAACTGCTTTAAAATAAATTCTGAAGAGAATTTTTCGTGGCGTCTGTACGAACGTATCTCGCATAACTCAAAAACAAGTAGCCTCAGAACGTTGAAATTTTGTATATAGGACTGCTATAACATGTAGATGTGCACCTCGTATTTTGGTTGCAATCGGCAGCACCAAAAGTATATAAATACTAATATATATATCCACTCTGTTACTCGACACAGTGATCTGAGTTTCTTTACTCTTATATGTTTGTAAATTCTACATTTTTTGCTTTAAAAAATGATTGAATTATGTTGTTCTTATCTTCCGGTTAAGGGTTTTATGCCTTTCGTAATTCTGGAAGCAATATTTGTACAATTATCAACAATTTAAAAGCTGTTTAAGTGCGGTTAAGTTTTAAATAACATGGCGGACATATTTGTTTACATTTGAAACAGCAGAATTGTAGATTTGTTGCCAATCTAGAGAGACTAAGCTTCGCAACAACAAAAATAACGCCTTCATTTATTATTGCGAATTAAATCATGCTTAATCCTTTCTGGAATTTTTTCGAGGAAATAAGTGTTTAAGATTTACTTAATTTTTAATAATTAATAATTTAATTTTTAATAATTAGTAATTTTTAATACAGATATTTTGAGCTTTTATGTATTTTTGTCTTGCCGCGAAGTGAAAACTGAATTAATTGAATGAGAAATACTCAATCGTCTGTGAAAAAACTTTTTTTTTTTTTTTTGTTTTGTTTGCTTAATTTCTTTTTTACATAGTTCTAGCTTTATTATAATATTTGAAAAGAACGTGTGGCAGCGATTAGATAATTCTTTAAATGATATACATTTTGTGCATTGAGTTATAATATGAATGAAATATAATACTTCTAAGTGAACCTAGTGCCAGAGTGTCGCTATGTTAAACAAATAGAGTGAATTTTAAAGAATGCCTTTATTCTATTGTGGTTTATGCGCTGTCGGCGAAGTAGATTTAATTAAATCCAATAAGTTTAAAAGAAATGCAAGAAACAAATGCGTATAATTTAACAATCCGTACAAGGAAGTCATGTGGTGTACACATCAGATTTTTTCATATACCATAGGCTGACAAGCATTACTCATCTATTAAGTTTAACGAAAAGTACCAATTAAAAAAATCTGAAAATGTTTGGATTTTATATTACGCATAAAGGCTCGTTTTCTTAACGTTTTGTGTGTTACCTTTATTTATTAAATGTCACGTTCGTCACACTTAAACCGTAAAATTCAATTGTAGAGACATTAGGAATTTTTTGGAAGCCGGAGAGATGAAAAATTAGCAATTGCCTTCGCCGGGAATCGAACCACGGACCTCTGTAGTACCGGCCCAGCGTTCAGAACCATTACACCACGAAGGCAAGCTAGGGAGGCGGGAGTAATACCTTATACAATTCAACACGAATATCATAAGATATTTAAAAGAGCCTATCTTTAGAATTCCCGATACACAATATCGCGCGCTGGAGATAAAAAATGTTTTTTTTTGCCATGTAATATAACAAATTCAAAATTTGGGCTTACAGATGCCCATATTCGAGTTGAGACCTACGTTATTCAAAATTTGATGTCTCTGTGTACCGTTGTTTTTTTACAATACGAAAAACATACATACATTCATGAAGATCCTTCATTATTTAATTTCGTTAAATATTATACAGGCTAATAATATTTGGTGGCAACATTTTGAAAATTAATTCAGACTTTTAAAGTTTTCGACGCAAAATGCCAAACAAAATTAATAGCCCTTCTGGGCTAAAAGCATTTTCTTATTCACTTACATCGAGTGCTGACCCTTGGTAACAAACATCCTACTACATAACCACCGCTCTCAACACACTCACTAAGCACTAATAGTACACTATTTTGCAGTTTTAAGAAATTTGAATAAAGGATTTGATATGGATTTTAAACTTTACTTACCACGTCTTCTATCATCCCCCTCCTGGCGTTGCGCAGACTTTTAACGTAACCGTATACATCATACACCGCATCTTCCTCTGCCAAATCCAGATTCGAATCGATACAGATGTAGGCACCCGTTCGACCGCAACCGTCACTGGGAAAAAACATTTCCGGGGTTAAACATTCTATCTTCCTCAGCAAGAAAAATGTATACAAGAAAAGTCACTAGATAAGGCAGACACTGCTATTGTAATATTTAGAAGCAAAAATATATTGCATCCAGAATATATAAATCAAAGTCAGTTTATGTATGCAGCTAACTGTATTCACTTCCGTTAAGGGAATAAATCGGATCATTTTTCTAAAAGGGGTCTTCATAGGACCTATAAATATAGCAAGAGAAGTTGCTGATAGTCATAAGCCTCTAGATATGCTCTGACATGTGAAGCAAAGTGATTTAGAATGCCACTTTTTTGTATCGCTTACGATGCAGTTTGAAAAATTTAATCCTATGCTAAATACGTGTTTAAATGATGTGCATTTAGGTTTATACCTACATCATCATTTTTAAAAAATTCAGATAGGAGAACCTTTTCTTGGTAGCATAAAAACTACATAAAAAAAGCTCTCGTTTCTCGTTTTGAAATAATACATCCCAACAAAGAATAAACTTTATTGCCGTGTTTCCCCGTGTATTTTACGTCCTAGCTTCTTAGCAATAGGTTTTGAAAAATTTTAAAATAATCGTATAATTTCCCCCTTTCCCTATTTGGGCATAGTTTTTTCTTCTGAGGTACATTTTATTGGTAAATTAAATACATTTGATTTAACTGAGAAGGCAAACAACAAAAATCAGGGTCATATTTTCAAAATTTTCACAGGACTAGTTTCGATGGTTTTACCGAACCACCATCCTCAGCTGCAAAACCGCAAGCGAACAAGATAGGAAATAATGATTAGATAAGATAAGAAAGCCTGGACAAGAATAAGCAAGTGGCGCCATCTGTTGATGAAACCAGAACTAAAACATAATTTCTTTATAAACATAATTTCTTTATGAAACATAATTTCTTTTCGAAGGCAAAGATGGATTGGAATTAGGATCGTTAACTAGAACAGAAAGATTTTTTTGAATGTGAAATGCCTCTAGAAAATCCAGTTCTCCAATGCAAGATGTTTTTTGAATAATTTTGGCAGCAGAAAAATTGAAAGTGTGATTTTCGTACCAACAATGTTGAGCAACAGAAGACTTCCGTGTTTCCTTTTTTTCTAACATATGCCTCATGTTCCTTGACGCAAAATTTTAAGGCTCTCTTAGTTCGGCCAATGTAAATTAAACCACACTGGCAAGGAATCCTATAAATACCCCAGGTATTCATATCCGGAATGGGGTCCTCGAGTAGGGAACTCGGAATTTTATTGATGAGAGAATAAACAAATTCGAAAATTAAATTTTTTCAAAATATGTGCAACTTTACAGCTTATTGATGGAAAGAAGGGAATGACAACAGAATTTTTATAAACTCCTAAAACAAGAGTTTGCCTTTTAGTGTGTTGAGATGAGAATTTTTTTAACTGCTTGATTAATAATGTTGGGTAAAAAGCCCCTAGACTTAAAATTCGAGGAGTGTTGTCGTGAGTCACTCAAAATCCAAAACCCGTAGAATTCAACAAGCTTTTCATTCAATTGCAATTTTAAGGTGAACGATTTAAAATTTAACAGAAGACTGAATTTCACTGTCCACGTTTACAAGAAGAAATCGCAATAAAATCGCATATACCTTATTTCTCAAATTATTAGTTTTCTGGACAATTCTTTCGCAAAATATTCTTTTATATCTTGAACATAACGATTATTTAATTATTGAACGTATTTCACATCCTACGAAAATATCCCTATGGCATTACAATTCATTGCAATTATTTACAAAATTCTGAAATATTTACAGAAACTTATCACTCATAATTTCGCTTCTGTATACAACTTGAGTTTGATTACAATTAAAAATTCTAAAAGATATAGTCTGTACCTGCAGTGGACGATCAGGGGGCCGTTGTCAGGATACTGGCTGAGATAGATCTTCACCCTACGCCGGAAGTCGAGGAGAGAACATGGAAAGGGGTTCGTATGAGTAGGCCAAGCGACGTAGTGTATATGAGATAGTTGCCGGACTTCTTCTCCCTAACAGAACACAATGTTATAAAAACTATGTAAATAGTATTCGATTATCCCTAAAAGAACACAATGTTATAAAAACCATGTAAATAGTATCTATTTCCAATATAGTATCGATTTACAATAAATAGTATCTATTTACAAGATAAAAACAAGATAATCCTGCTTGTATTTACAAGATTATATGATCAAGATATAAACAATATACATATATATATACACTGAAGTGACAAAAGTCATGGCATAGCAATATGCAAATATACAGATGGCAGTAGTATCGCGTAGAAAATGTATAAATGCGAAGTGCTTTAGCAGAGCTTTCATTTGTGTTCAAGTTATTCATGTGAAGAGGCTTTGACGTGATTATGGCCGCACGACGAGAATTAACAGACTTTGAACGCGGAATGGTAGTTGGAGCTACACGTATGGATCATTCCATTTCGGATATCGTGAGGGAATTCAACATTCCGAGATCCACAGTGTCAAGAGTGTGCCGAGAGTATCTAATTTCAGGCATAACGTCCCACCATGGACAGCGCAGTGGCCGACCACCTGCACTTAACGATCGAGACCAGTGACGTCTGCGTAGAGCTGTCAATGTTCACGGACAAGCAACACTGCGTCCAATAACCGCAGAAATCAATGTGGGACGTACGAGGGACGTTTTCGATAGGACAGTGCGGCGAAATTTGTCTTCCTTGGGCTATGCCAGCAGAAGACCGACTCGAGTGCCTTTACTGACAGCACGTCATCGCCTGCAGCGACTCTCGTGGGCTCGTGAGCATATCGGTTGGTCCCTAAACGAATGGAAAACCGTGGCTTGGTCAGATGAGTCACGATTTCAGTTGGTAAGAGCTGATGGTACGGTTCGAGTGTGGCGCAGACCCCACGAAGCCATGGACCCAAGTTGTCAACAAGGCACTGTTCAAGCTGGTGGTGGTTCATAATGGTCTGGGCTGTTTTTCATGGCATGGACTCGGTCCTCTGGAGCCAACTGAACCGAGCGTTGACTGGAAATGTATACCTTCAGCTACTTGGAGATCACTTACAGCCATTCATGGACTTCACGTACTCAAACAACGATGGGATTTTATGGATGACAATGCGCCATGCGCCGTCACCGGCCACAATTGTTCGCGATTGGTTAGAAGAACATTCTGGACAATTCCAGCGAATGATCTGGCCACCTAGATCGCTCGACATGAATACCATGAACATTTATGGGACATCATCGAGAGGTCAGTTCGTGCCCAAAACCCTGCACCGTCAATACTTTCACAATTATGGACGTCTATAGAGGCAGCATGGCTCAATATTCCTGCAGGGGACTTCCAACGACTTGTTGAGTCCATGCCACGTCGAGTTGCTGCACTTCGCCGGGCAAAAGGAGGACCGACAAAATATTAGGAGGTATCCCATGACTTTTGTCACTTCAGTGTATATGTTACCGTGAAAGACCGAAATTGGAGAATGTCGACTTTCACCGGAGAATGTCAACATTCACCAAATACGTCGGTGAAAGATCGAATATTCCATTACATTCTTGTACATTCGGACCCTCACCGGTGTATGTCGACAATCGCAGATATGCTCTGGTGTAGGTCGAAAAGAGAGGAGTATATGTACACGCTGTCATTGCGAAAGGAAGTGTTCCACAAATAAATACACTTGTAAAAGCAAGGGCCTCTTGTGCAATTCAAAGTGTCATAATAGTTTAAGTTGTTGCAATAAATAAGATTTGAATCACGTAATTTAGTATGCTTTTAACTTCTATTATTTTCCTTTCTCATTTTGAATGTACAGTGTATTTTAAGTTTTTATTTTAAGTCAAGTGCGTTTTTTTGTGACCGAATTACGGAGAAGAAAATGTAATATTCTTATGTGTTCAACATTCACCATTAATACATGGTGAATGTCGACATTTACCGGTGTAAGTCAGAAATAAGAGTATTTGGAAAATATTTCGGACATACACCAAGCGACTATGTGAATGTTGACATTCACCGGTGAAAGTCAACATTCTCCAGATTTCGGTGTTTTACCGTAACATATATACAAGATGTAAACAAGACATACAAGATATAAACAAGATTTAATAATAATCTTGTTTATATTTACAAGATTATATGATCAAGATATAAACAAGATATATATATACAAGATGTAAACAAGATATACAAGATACAAACAAGATATACAAGATATAATAAGATGTAGAAAGATATAAACAAGATATACAAGATGAAACAAGATAACAAGATGTAACAAGATATAAACAAGATATACACGCCATACAAGATATCTTGTTTACAAGATTTAAACAAGATTAAGGGGACTCATACACCTTAAAACCCATAAGATGTTCGAATAGGTGACTGTTGCAAGAATTGGGATAACTTATTTATTTTAAAAGCAATTACTACCAGCTTTTCACAGCTGACTACATAATATAGCTGCTTTCTGAAATAGTCATCAGAAAGTTTGTGTTGCCACAAATATTTTTATAATTTAATCCGTTTTGTGACAACATTTTTCGTCATGCTTCCAACTTGCGCGCACATTTTAAAACATTCTGTTTCATAATTTAATTCCATATTTAATATATAGCTTTTATAACGTTTGGAAACTACTGTAAACCTAAAATTCTAAAAATTTCACGTTAAATTTTATTTTATTTTGAGTTGAGTTTAAAATGTATTTATTAAAAATTTTAATTTTTCGTCCATAAAATTTTCGATACTAAATATTCATCAGATTGTTGGTTCAATAGAAAATAGATATTCCATCCAATTTCAAGTATGTACCATCAGCCATTTTTAAAATATCATGCGCGCAAGGTGGAAACATGGCGAAATATTTTGTCACTAGGATTAAATTACAAAAATATTTTTTGGCAACACAAACTTTCTGGTTACTAGTTTCCAAGCAGCTATATTATGTAGTCAGCTGTAAAAAGGTGGAAGTAATTGATTTTAAAATAAATAAAATATCTCAATTCTCGCAACAGTCACATATTCGAAGATCATAAGGGGTTTAAGGTGTACGAGTCCCCTTAACTGATTAGCTTGTAACAGCCAAAAGCCACGATTTTTGCTTGTGCAAACAAGAAACAATCTTTTGCACGGAAAGCCATTTGACTTCCGACGATATGAACAGGTACAGATACTAGAAGTATCAGGCAGAGGTCTCAAATTCAAATAGCGCTCGAGCCGAATGCACAGTCTGAAAATGGCTGACAGCTAGAATTTATTTGATTTGATTTGATTTTTTTTTTTTTTTTTTTTTTTTTAACAAAATGAAAGTTTTCTATTTACAAGATATAAAACATTTGTAAAGATTTATTTATTATCATCTAGCCATTTATGTTATGTGAAGTAGCTTTACTGTTTTTCTCTTTTTCCGTTTTCCTACCAGAATGCTAGTTTTCAGCTCGCGCTTATACAAATGAGGTAGAAAGAAACAGTATTTGAAAGGAAGGTTTTAAATTGTTTAGTCAGATTGCGCTGCACCTACTGAAGACCACGTTACTAGTTGCTGTTCTACTATAGCAGTTTGTAACTTCGGTGTTGCTCTATTTTTGCCAAAAGTGCTTGTCGCATCGGTTTAGTTTGAGCCAGCTTGCACCATTCTGTGTAGCCTTTGGGCCAACTTAAGATTAAACTTAGTTTTAAATTTTAATCCTTTATCTTTTGAGTTAATGCATAAATGCTGTCTGGTTTGTAAGCACAAGATGGGCCTTCTGTTGAATTAGTTTGAGTTCTGTAACAAAAGAGTCTTTTACACCCTTCTTAAGTTCTGTTTCATCTTTGACATAGCGATAAGTCGTTTACACGTCTATTCAAGTATCTGCCATGAGTTACACACTGCTACTGTCGTGTTTGCCCCTTGGCTGTGGGGTTAGAACATAGTTCGATTTTTGGGGCCATCCTTGGGGGTTTAGTTCCATTCGTTTCCTTCGACGAGGACTGATAAGGTACAGAACACCATCTGAATTTTTCGATGCTCCCAGAGGGGTGCTCGGGGCAAAGATCACTTCGTAAATTTTTTGTCTAAGCGTTCAATCCGTTCTTATGCTTTGCATAAAGCCGAGGGGAGGGGACACGGGGGCTGCACCCGCTTGGATGATCCCTGGAGTTCAGATGCTCGCCCTGATAGGCATATTCCAGGGCAGGTGTTCGTCTTCGGAGTTCTGTCTCCACGTGCTAATTATTGTTGCGAAATGCCCAGCTGCTACGTGGTGGGATATCTTCCCCGCAAAGCATGAATAGGGTTGCCAGAAAGTGACAGGGAAAGGCAGAGATGCAGATTTGGCTCGAAATCGCTCCTTTAGAGATATTTGGCGAGAAAAATGGCTATATGTCATAGACGAAGCGAGAACATTCTAGAGCACATTTTTAGCCGTTTTCTCGAGAGTATTCTCGAAGGTAGGTTGACGCTATATATACCCTGCCTGTCTTGGTAAAGAGTAGTGTCTAGAGCTCAGAGATTAGCTTGAGAGCGATGGACCGAGTCGGGAGCTGTACTTAAGTGCTCTGCTATTGTGAGTTTCAAAAAACAGATACAAACGCCAAGAATTTCGCCAAATGAGACTTTTGGCGCAAAGATGTCATTGAAGGAACTTCACCAAAAAGGCTAAGGTGCGCGAATTTCACTGGCATATTCTGTCGATGTTCTGATATGTAAAAGTTATCTGTTGTGTGTTTGCGTGTGTGAATAAAAAATCTGTTAATGTGAAGCTAGTATCGTCATTAATTGATGATTTGATCAACCCTTATTTTACGGATTATTTAGCTTTTCTATATCGTCGAGTGGCACAATCGTCCAAGCCGAAAGTGATTCTTCAAAACACAATGTGAGTGTTATGATCATCTTTACGAGTATTCGAAACTTTACTGCCGTTAAGCTGTCTTCACCGTTACAGCCTGAAGTCTGCGTTGCTGATTGTTTCAGCGTGTTTTTTGTATTTTTTCCACGAGTGTAAACGTGTTTTTGGAACTGTCCTGTGTAATAGCACACTGGCGAATAAATTGTGTTTTGATTCTTTATCAAGTGGTTTCATCAGTTAAACCAAATCCACGAACTTGTAGAACAAACACACGCAGCCGACAGAATCCCAGACGATCTCTAAAGTTCTTAAAAGAATAAACGCTTGATCCATTCCTCACAACAGACTTTGCCAGTGCCAGTGGCTCGTTTGGAATCCCATCCTTTAGTCCGGGAGATTTATTGGTATCTGAACATATTGTCATATAGATTTACATTTATGATTGTATACATAACATACATAACATTGTTACATTCTTATCTGGTGCGAACGTTGCTTGGTACCTTATATTGCAATAATTTTGCGATAATCCGTGGTTCGAGTCCCTGCGACGGCATTGCTCATTTTTCATATCTAATGGCTCTACAACTTTGTATTCCAATATATTATCTGCCTGAAAGGTTGTGACAATTTATTACAGTTTGTTGTATTTGTGAAATTTCGTAAGGGTTTGTGTTATTCTGACGGAGTAAAAGCCCCTGTGCAAAGCGCCTTTTTAGTATACGTTGGAACAAAGTATTTGCGTTGAGTACATCTATGGATACTGAATGATTAATAGTTGTACAGCAACATGATGACTACAAGCTATTCCTCTTATCGTACAACATACATATTTACCACTACAACACTACTGTCAGGTTCGAATATGTCCGTTACGCATTCTCCCTCCTTTCTGGAAGCCTTCGTGGTGTAACGATAGCACACTCAGCGCGTATTCGAGAGGTCCAGGATCGCGTCCCCGTGAGGGCATTACTCATTTTACATGTCGCCTGATTCAAAATAACCTAATGTTTCTAGAAAGTAACAGTCATAACGATACAAGATGCATGTCACTTGCCATGAATATGTGTTATCATTCAGCCATACTGTAAGTCACAGATATATTATATTTGACAGATATCCCAGATATATTACAAACTATTTCTCTTATTGTACAGCAGACTTATTTTCCACTACAACACTAGTGTCAGGGTTCGAACATGGCCGTGCTCTGTATCACACTATTCAAGTAATTGTCATTATCGTATGACACGCATGGCACTTTCCAGGAATATGTGTTATCATTCAACGACATTCTAAGTCACATATATATTACATTTGGTAGTCTGTGGCAGCAAATATTGCGGGTACGCCGATGCTTTATATGATCTATTCTGGGGGTTGCGGAAGATTGAGAAATGGCATATTTTGCGCCTTTTGTTTTGTTCATATTGTTGCGTTTTTCTCTTAATGATACCAGTGGTTACGTTATTTTCTTCCTTCACGTTCGTACGGGGTTCGTAGATTTGGAATGAATAACGACGACACTTAATAAAGTATCGAAACACACTTTATTTACCAGTATTGTCAGGACAGCTTCAAAACACGTTTTACAGTCGTCGATGAACTACTATAAACACGCTGACACGATCAGCGACGCAGACTTCAGGTTATCATGGCTATCACGGGGGAGACAGCTTCACTGCAAAGCACCCGAGTACAGCTTCCAACTCTTCAGTTCAGTCGTTCTCGGAACGAACTACACGTACTCTCGAGACTCTCCACGCGATGCACTCGACGATACACAAGAGTATACTAGCTCTCGACTCAGCACAGTCTAAGACAAAACTCGACGATGCACTAATTCGCGATGCACTAAAATACTCTCTCGATGCACTCGGCGACCAACTCGGCGCTAGACTTCGAGACACTCGCTCAATGACTGACTATCAACTCGTTAGACGAGGTCCCCCCGGGGTTCGACGTAGAGAACTCTGCGAAGCTACTGGCTAGGATCTGTACCTAGGCAGTCTCGGCCACGGGGGTATAAAATTTATGAACTTGGTGGTTCTGAAGGCTCTGGGAAAGGTCACTTATTGGCCGGCCCCGGAGTCTGGCACGTCCTAGCGCGGCGTGATTCTAGTAACCCGGGGGTCTCCCCCGGGGTCGCTGGGTAATGTCCCGCTGCGACGGGCTCGCCCAAGCGACTGGTAGGAGCATTAGACGACCGGTGCTGCCTGGTGTTTATTTCCAGGTGGTGCGCTGCTCTCCTGGAGGGTAATAGTGGAGGTTGAACCTCCACGACGTGCCCAAAGGGAGAGTGGACCTGTAGTGGGCTTACGTTCCCGGAGCAGGGCAGCCAAAATCCTCTAGACGAGGTACACATACTAACTGACTGCGTACCAGCAGGGTTTATATAGTTTTCGGCTTGTGTTCGAGAACATTCTGGGCTAAATCGGTAAGAATTCGTTCCAGAAAGTTCTCCATCCGTCCATGGCATATCACCAATTTTGTCGCCAAATGGGCGATTTCTCGCCAAATGTGGCAACACTGCCTTCGCTTGCCATTTTATGGCAACCCTAAAACTGCTTTGCGGGGAAGCCATCTTACCGCGCCTGTACATTTCGTAACAATATGCTTGATCACCCTCTGAAGATTCGTAGGAATTATAATCGGGAATACGACAGTTTTCCTTGTAAGAGGAGGAGATATATTTTAGTAATTTCAACTTCACACTAATCAGTAATAACTGATACAGTAATGTAACAAATATGTTAAGCGGACAAACTAGTAAAATAAAAGACCACTAGGAAAATGAAGTACTTTATACGAGATACATAATACATGGCGTTAGACATATATTACATTATCTACATAATACATGTCAGTGTATTTTTATTTTATATTATTTAGAATTATTACTAAAATAAAATACAATTTTAAGCAACCAAAAATGCTTCTATTGGTGTAAATCGCCTAGTTTGTAACGCAGTTATGAATTCTTTAAAGTCGGAAATTAAATTAAAGATCTTCTGCTTTGCAAAGTGGCAGAATTCACAGAAACGATTATGAGCAAGGTGCATGGAAAACGCATTCAAAGCTTTACATTTCGTGCAGTGGCAACACTTGCAAAGGTGAGTTAATGATATTTTCATAGTAGTATAAAGCGACATATAAATTGGCAAACAATTATGCTACTGTTCTACTACTGTCTGCAAAATTACGCTAAGGGCATTCATAATTGATAATTCATTGCTAAGGAATTCATTACGGGCATTTCTAGTTCATCCTGGTGGTTTAAAACTACTACAAAGTTATTTGCATAACAATCTCGTGAGTGACGTTTCTCCAATTCCGTTCTTGTTGCAGGTGTAAAAAATACACATTCCGTGTTCCACACGTCTTCTTTTGACAGAGCACTGCAACGTTATTGCGAATAAATGGAAAAACTTTTCAGTTCAGAACCCTAACAGTAATGATTTAATAATGATTTTTAAACTAGTCAATATCATTTTAAGAGCGTTTTTAACGTCTACAAAATTGCACTCAGCGATGCCATTTTGCTTATTTATGTTAATTATTACGCTCATTATTAAATTACAGTAAAAGTACTCTCTACCCTCTGGAGTAACTGTTTCATGTTGCATTACCTTCCGAACTTGCATCGTCCTGACGTTGTAATGGGCGAGAGTAGTTTCGGATAACATAGTCACCTCTATGTCCCCGTATTTCTCTGGATGGTCGATGTCGATTGGCCAATACCTGTCGCACATCACCTGTAAAAGGAAATAGAACATAAATAAAGAAAAGTAGTAACTTTAATAAAAAAAACAATCTGAAAAACTCGACGATGCACTAATTCGCGATGCACTAAAAGACTCTCTCGATGCACTCGACGACCAACTCGGCGCTAGACTTCGAGACACTCGCTCAATGACTGACTATCAACTCGTTAGACGAGGTACACATACTAATTGACTGCGGACCAGCAGGCTTTATATAGTTTTCGGCTTGTGTTCGAGAACATTCTGGGCTAAATCGGTAAGAATTCGTTCCAGAAGGTTCTTCATCCGTCCATGGCAAGTCGCCAATTTTGTCGCAAAATGGGCGATTTCTCGCCAAATATGGCAACACTGTCTTCGCTTGCCATTTTATGGCAACCCTAAAACTGCTTTGCAGGGAAGCCATCTTACCGCGCCTGTACATTTCGTAAGAATATGCTTGATCACCCTCTGAAGTTTCGCAGGAATTATAATCAATAATTTTCAGATTATATATTACTCCCAAAGGGGCGTTTCTTAACATCTTGTGTGTTACTTTTACTTATTAAACATCATGGTCTTTGCACATGAACCTTAAAATTCAGTTCAACAACAATATCACAAAATATTTAAAACAGCCTGTCTTTAGAATTTCCGATACACTGTCTCCCGCGCTGGAGATAAAAATGCTTCCCCCACCCCCCGCGTACAGTCTTGAGATAAAAAAGTAAAAAGTTAAAAAAATTCTTTAATATTATAATTAAATAAATTGTAAAGTTCAAAAATTCTTTAAGTTCTGACAAAATATGAAATAAATAATAAAACAAATTCCAAATTAGGGCTTATTTCAAATTCCAAATTATGCCCATATTTCGTGAAGGATAACGTTATTCGGAATCTGATAGCTCTAGGTATCGTTGTTCTACCTCAGTGCGAGAAACATTTATGCAGATTCTTCATTATTTAATTTCTTTAAATATAACGCAGGGCTCTAATATTTTATAGTAACAATTTGAAAATTGAAACGGACATTTAAAGCTTTCGACTCAAAATGGCAAAACGAAATTAATATCTGTTTTGGGATAACGTCCTTAGAGCTAAAAACAGAGGAGCAATCGCTCATTAGAGATCTCGCGCACTACTGAAAAAATTGCGTCTTAGAATTAAAGATGAAAAAAAGCTGTGTACTTGAACTACCGAACATTATTCAATTGAAATTTGGGTTAGTGTAACACATAACGCTGTGTTACCAGAGTCAGTGGTTCCGAATTCAAATATCATGCACGATCTATAAACAGCAGGCAAGCCAGAATTTATTAATGACAAAATATTTCACACACATTTTAAATTTCGCTCATAAAAGATTAATTAAGACATACATACACAATAATAATATAGCAAAAAAAAATTCCTTATAGGGCCTATTAAATTATGAAAATTTTTACAGCATTTCATTTAAACGTATTTCGCCGAATTTCATTAGAGATATATTTCTCATTCAATCAATTCATTTCTCACTTCGCAATAAGGAAAAATTACAAAAAATCTCAAAACATGTTTACTAAAAATTGTAAAATACAGAAAAAAACACAAAATACATTTGAAAAATTAAAAAACAATTTTTACAATTAGAATTAGAGTCTCTACGCAAAAACAATAAAAATTACAATTAAAGTTTAAATTAATTAAAATTAAGCAGAAAGACAGATTTTTCAGTGCAGAAAACTTTTGAACCCACTCGGCAAATAGACGCTGAAGTTGGTGCAGAAACTGGCTTAATTCATTATGCTACTAATTTCAAATGTAAACAAATGGCGTCGTCGTTAGGCTTAGTAGAACTTAAACAACTTTTAAATTGTTGATAATTCTACAACTGTTGTATGTAGTTTAACGAAAGACATAAAAACCTTAACTGGAATATAAGAACCATATAATTCAATTGCTTTTAAAGCAAAAAACACACAAATTAACAATATATATATGAATAAAAAACTAAGCTCACCGAGTCGGCTGACAGAGTGGGTGTATATATTTGTAATAAAAAAATTCCATAGTCAAGAAAATACTTAAAATTCTAACTGTATGTTCTTTTCATTTTTAATTGCGACGGTCTCTTATTTGAAAGTACGTGAAATTAAATCCACAGCCCCGTAGTCAAGTTGTTTTTCCCGCCTTTTCTACACGTACAATTATAGAATGTTCTGGAGATATTTAAAGCGAACTGGAATGGCTGACGTCATTTCTTGGAAGCTCCGCCTTTCCAGAGGCTATAAAAGAACTCGCAAAGGAATATCGGGGCTTATTTTTAATGTAACGATGCAGTAAACTTCATACAAAAAGTTATTAGTAATTCTTTTTATTTACTCCGGATATCTGATTTTGTAACTGCTATTTCTCCTGAAATATAATAAATGGATCCTGTTTTTAAAACTTATCGCCTGATAATTTAAGCTACGACTACATCTATGATTCTTCACCAATCTATTTTATTCCGGACAAAAGCTGGTACATCACATATATATACACCCACTTTATATATATATATATATATGGTGGGTGTATATATATATACTCACACACATATATATTTATATACTTTACGTGTGGCCGACAGCAACCAAAAAAGTAGGTGCACATCTATATGTTATAACAGTCCCTATATAAAATTTCAACGCGCTGAGGCCACTCGTTTTTGAGTTATGTGAGTTACATACGTACGTACAGAGGTCACGATAAAATAAAAAAATCCGGAAAAAAGAGTCATTTATTATGCGCATATGTACATGTGGCAGGTGACAGCAGGGCCGGACACCCGGACGGCTTACGATTACTATTCGAGTGCTGTCCGGACCCTGCAACTATGTATAATGCGACACACTAATACTACAATATACTACAAAATGCAACACACTAATATACTATATACTAATATACATTAATACTAATACGTGGGTACAATATGCACATAAAAACACATTAATAAAATTATTCTATTATTTTACAATAACTTACACATGGATACGATACACTGATGTACAGGGTGTTCGGGATAAATTTGATATATTTATAATTGACTATATTTTTACGTAGGTTGGAGGTATTGACACACACTACTCGTCATTTAAAAGTTTGGACCCTTCTTCATTCATATACAAGGTATCAGAAAGGATGGATGACTGGAACCCACCTGAATCATGGAAGAGAATAACTTACATCATGATGATTCGTGCCGGCCATCAAAATAAGGATATTATGACTGCTGCCCAATGCTCCCTGAACACAGTAAAAACAATCAGGCATGAACAAGAGACTTGCAATGGTGACTACGAGGATGTAGCAAGAAGAAAGATCCCTAGCAGACGATCTGATTGCGTTCGTACAGCAGAATTCCTCGCAAATCTGCAGGAACAGGTGTTGAAGATCCCTGGCATTGGAATTCGGGCTTTGTCACGTGAAATGAATGTTGCAGCTTCTACTATGAAGCTTGCACTGAATGAAGACCTTCGCTACTACTCATACAAACGGATTTTACAATAACTTACACATGGATACGATACACTGATCAAATGTATCCCGAATTACCCTAAGATATGTAGACACTTACACTATATTACGATATATATAAAATTAAGTATTGGTACACATAGATACTGCGTAAATTCGATATATTTTTAAATGCACTTTTATGTGAATATTAATAATACACTATATTACTACAGGTGTTACTCTGTATGTACTTAGATCTTGAAACATGACAACATGATGCTACATTTATAGACACAATACACCAATGACACGATACGTCAATGTACATAATGCTATACACTAAGATATTATACACTAAAAGACAGATACAATACACCAATGCACATAAATACGACACACTAATATACTATACACCAGTATTCTATACACTAATACACTAATATACTATACACCAACATGCTATACAATAGTTCGCTAATATACTATACACTAAAAGATTGTGCGTACGTACAGATGTAATGCAAAAATATCCCTCAGATGAAATCGAGAGCGGTTTAAATGTATATTTTCGTTGAAATACGGTGCTCGAAATTTTTCGCAATTACAAAACTTCTTTAACTTCGTACAAGGAAGTAAAAAATCAAATTTATATCTATTTTCTATTCGTATTCTAAGGCTGCTATCACACGTCCGTTTGTTTCGGAAGAACAACTGCTTGGAACAATTTTTCTGTTTTGCCACAATAGCCAATCACCACAGATCGCTTTGCGGTTAACACACGGGAAACTGGTTCTCCATTACAAACAAACTGATAGCTGATTGGTTGAAAACGAACCAACTTGCAATTTTTTCCCGAAAGGAAAGGAACAAAATCGTGCGTCTTTATTGCAATAGTAAACCAAGCAGAAATAGTTGTTCGTGTGAAATAAATGCCGTGTAATATGGACCTTAAGTCTGGTACCTGCAAGACATTTTTGTTGGTTACACTTTGTAATTAAAATATACTGGCGTTTGTAATGTAGCGACTTATCGCTGAGTCCAAGCATATACACGAAGTCCAAAAAAGGGTTAAATTCACCCTTTATTATTTCAAACTAAAAATACAGATGGCTCCTTTCTCGGGCTTACAGATAAGCCACCTCTTGGGCTTTAAATCAAGATAAGAAAATAAGAAACTAATCTAATGCTAAACTGAGCCGAAGCTGTACACAATGATGTGACGTAGTTGGCCCATAATTAAATTAACCGGCGAATATTAGCAACCATGGAGAATACGGCCGAGCGTTAGTTAGCTTTAACCAACGAAGCAACCTGACGGCAGACATGCGTCACTACTGACTCCTAAGCTCTTTTCTTAAAATTCCAGTGCCAGTTACCACTTCTAGCTTGCTGTTTTTACAAGCTGTATATCGGCTATCATGATGTAGTTGCTACAAGGAGCGATGCAGGTGCTGAATTGCCTCAGTGCGTCAAGAGGACAGACATACCAGACGAAGGACCTCCGTCCCAGGTCCTCATTATACG